TTCATGCCACTCGTTCTTTTGATCACATGACATAGCCTCTACATAAGTTTCCGGCTCTCCTACATCGGTGAGTAACACATACTCATGCGGCTGATATTTCTGTGAGGGCCTACGTTCTCTTTTAGATCTTCTAACCTGAGGTAAGACCGGTTGTTCTTGCTCAACTGGCTCAACTGGCTCAACTGGCTGTTCTTGCTCAACTGTTTCACCCGTCTCAACTGAAGAATCAACATTTTGTGAGGATTCACCATCTTCATGATTTCCATGTACTTCTCTCCCATGATTTCCACCCAATATGGTAGGAGGACTTGGACTGAAACTAACATAATGTTGAGCTACATTCTTTGGCCTCCCTAGCCTGTTAATGTCTTCAATGGTTTGATGCTCAAAGAATATCACATCTCGGCTTCTAATGACTTTCTTTGCAACTGGATCCCATAACCTATAGCCAAACTCTTCATGTCCATAACCCAAGAAGATACACTGTTTAGACTTGTCATCAAGCTTCGACCTTTCATCTCTTGGAACATGCACAAATGCTCGGCAACCGAACACTTTCAGGTAATTATACGATACATCTTTCCCACTCCAAACTCTTTGCGGAACATCCCCCTTAAGAGGAACCGATGGAGAAAGATTTATCAAGTTCACTGCTGTTCTCATCGCTTCACCCCAAAATGACTTGGGCAACTTCGCATGAGAGAGCATACACCGAATCAGATCATTAATTGTCCGGTTCATTCTCTCCGCCACTCAATTTTGTTGTGGTGTTTTTGGAACAGTCTTCTCAAGCTTGATACCATAATTCCTACAATAATGTTCAAATGGGCCTCTATATTCACCACCATTGTCAACTCGAACACATTTCAACTTCTTTCCAATTTCTCTTTCCACATTGACATGAAATTGTTTGAAAGCTACAAGCACCTGATCTTTAGATTTCAAAGCAACAGCCCATACTTTTCTAGAGCAATCATCAATAAATGTCACAAAGTACAATGCACCACCAAGTATTCTAGCATCCATGCAACAAACATCAGTGTGAACTAAATCAAGTACATTTGATTTCGTATGTGGAGAGGAACTATGAAATGAGAACCTATGTTGCTTACCTGTAAGGCAATGAGTACATTCCTTCAGATTTCTCTCCTTTAATGGTAGGAGATTCTTTCTCGCAAGAGTTTCAAGCCCCTTCTCGCTGAGATGACCGAGTCTCATATGCCATAGGTCAACTGAGGAGTCATCCACTACATTCACATCTTCTTTGACCAACTTAGCTTGCATGGTGTAGAGAGTGCATGTCTTATTACCCTTAGCCATTATCATGGAACCCTTAGTCAATTTCCATTTGCCATCACTGAAGGTATTGCAATAACCATCATCATCTAAGGCACCTGCGGAGATCAAGTGAAGTCGAATATTCGGAACATGTCTCACATTTTTCAGAAGCAAACTACATCCAATGTCGGTCTCCAAATGAACGTCTCCCATGCCGATAACCTTGGAAACACCACTGTTTCCCATCCTAACACAATCAAAATCACCGCTGCGATAGGAAGTAAAATAGTCACGCCGTGAGGTGACATGAAATGAAGCTCCAGAATCAACAACCCAACCAAAGTCTTGGCATGTAAGGTTCACACAAGTATCATCACAAATGAACACAATATCGCCATCGGATGCAATTCCCGTTGTAACTTGCTTTTCTTCTTTCTTTCGACCTCCATTTCTATCATGGGATTTTTCTCTTTTTGGCAACCTACATTCCCTAGCATAATGTCCCATCTTGCCACAATTGTAGCACTTCACACTCCTCCTTGGCCTTGACTTCGATCTTCCTCTTGACTTGCCCCTATCATCATTACTCTGATGCTTTCTTGATTGAGTTGTCACCCTATTTTCTATGACAAGAGCCTCCGATTTAGAAGCATAATTCAAGCTTTTTCTCCTTGTTTCTTCATTGAATAGGCTTTCTTTGACCATGCTCATGGAAAGCACATTGGAAGGAGCCGAATTGTTTAGTGCCACAACTAAAGTGTCCCAACTATCGGGAAGAGTACCAAGCAATAGACATGCTTGCAATTCATCACCTAAGTCAATCTCAAGATTTGTCAATTGATTTACAACATCTTGAAATTCACTCAAGTGTTCCGACATGCTACTTCCCTCTTTATATCTCAAATTCACAAGTCTTTTAACTAGAAAAGCTTTATTTTGTGGGGTTCTCCTCTCATAGAGATCTTGCAATTTCTTCCACAAAGTGTCCGCTTTCGTTTCTTGAGCTACATGATGAAACACACTATCATCAATCCATTGTCGAATAAACCCAACCGTTTTCCGATTCATTCGCTCCCATTCTTTGTCTTCCTTATCTCCTTTGGCCTCATCACCCTCAACGGGATCAAATAAATCTTTGCAATATAAAAAGTCTTCAATCCGAGGCTTCCAAATGTTGTAATTCGAGGCTTTTAACTTAAACATGGTGCCACTAGTTTCCTCCATTCAATACTATAATATTAACGCAAGCTCTGATACCACTTTGTTGGGGAGAACCGGGCAACAATTCACCAAGAACAAAACCAAATTCAGGATCAATATCTCCCCCACAATTGAACCGACCGAAATTGACTTAATCCTAGCAACAACCAACAATATTCCAGCAATTCAACCTTGAAATAATAAGAAGGCAAATGCAACAACGACACCAAGATTTAACGTGGAAACCCAATGCGGGAAAAACCACGGACCGCCCCAAAAACTTTCACTAATCACCAAGAATAGTCGGATATACCAAGTTCTTCTCTAGTCACACACTAGAGGCACAACATCAATATTACAACATCATTTTCATCACCGCGAAGGTGGATTTATATAAAACGGAGGAGAAAATCCTAACCGTGAATGGAGAGTTCGGAGGAGATTCTCAATGAACGAAACCGATCAACTCGTAGCCCTCGGTCTTACGAACAACATACTAAAATTTGAGCCAATTCCGACAATATTTGGCCTTCGAATCAGGACCGCAAATTTCAGCCCCTTCTTCCTTCTTCTCCCCTGCATTCTCAGTGAAGCTCTCGATAAAGCTCACCTTTTTCTTTTTCTCTCTCCTATTTGAGCACACTTGCACGCACGAAGCACTTTCTTTTTGTTCTTTTCTTTTTTTTTTGACTTTTTGTTTCTTTTCTTTTGTTTTGTATTAGGCTGGCTGGGCCCCACATAAGGTGGACCCAGTCAACAGGCTATTACGTCACGTCTAACATATGCTTCAGTTAAGAACGAAATTTGATGCATGGGACACGAGGATAAGGGCCAGCAAAGTAATGCAAATTGCCAAGAGGGTAAGGATAATTTTAGGAAGCGATAATTGACACATAAAAGTGTTAGTATAAATTGAGATAATATAGGTTTTAGGAAGCTATAATTGACACAAACGGTTAATATAGTTTGGCTAGCCAAATTATATTTTGTCCCATGTTAAACCCCACGTAAGAGAACTTCTAAAGATAAAAGGGCATCTAAAGAGAACATTCCACACAATGCCCTCCTTGGAGATGAAAGTGATGATATATATATTATATTGACCAGCTTATAACATGTCACCCCAAAAGGGAAAGTATACAAAATAATGTGGTGCAACAATGGTGGGTCGAACTTGATTTGTTGTTTTGCGAGGTCAGTGGGTTTCGCCTTTCGTTAATACGCAATAGCTCGATTTGATCTAGTAGAAGGAGCGTAGACAACAATCTAATGGCATGAGCTTAATCCCGTGGGTTTTTAGAATTGTCAAATAGGCTGGTTAGGTCGAATTTGATTTGGATGGGTTGAAAATGGGCTCGACTTAAATTGATCCATTTAATTCATATTGACTTATTATTATTTAATATTATCTTTGCGACTCATATCCTACTTGATCCGGACCCAACTTGGGCTCCAAATTATTATCAACTTTGTCCTTAAATTTGGAAAATAACATGCTAACACAAAAAAAAATTAGCAAATAAGAAATTGTTAAAATTTCTTTCGAATTAAGCTATCAGAACCCATGTCCTGTAATTTTTCTTGGTGTTAGAAATTTTATCTAATTTAGCAAGAGAGAGTAAGCCTGAAAAGATATACATGACATAAATTCAATATGATATCCAATCCACAACTATTAGTCCATGCAATTGATGATTTCTTGAAGTTCGTTTTCGGCCATCAAAATTTCCTCGGCCAAGAATTTGTGATGACTCTCACCATCACTCATCCCAAAGGCCAACCACATTGAAACACCCTTGCTTAGTCATTCCTCGCGTCGCTGAAGATACTTTTTGTTATATTATGTCTCGAATTTGAATTCTTGATCTAAATAGAAATTTCAATCCCGAATAGGACTTGTGGATTGACGTCCGAATAATAAATTATCGAAATACTTTCCACATTTGAGTTAGATCATCATAACATATGAAAATGGGATTCTACTTAATTGTTACAAACTGGAGCAAACAAAAGTAATATTAGGTTTTTGAGTTTTCAAAGTAAGTTTTCTGTGAGAGATTGTGAGATCATACTTGTTAGTTTTGATTTTTTATGTGTGATTTGGGACTTGAAAACACTTGATCAATCGAGCAACAATAATTCTGTAATTCTCCAAAATCATAATGAATTTCTTCACAGTAGGCTCTCCCTGTGAAGTAAATACCGAGAACCGAACCACGTTAATCTCTGGTATCCTTATCGTTTATCGTAATCTCCATAAATCTATTCTTCTTGCATTAGGTTTGAATTGCAAGATTATGTTAAGTTTCTTTATTATTTCATAACACTTTTATACCTTTGGCATCAGAATGATTCCCGCCACACATTCGCACTGTGCCCAACTCTTCATGGCCAGTTAGGTTTGTTTTCCCTTATTTATAGATGCCCCATTACCCTCTCTTCTCAGCTCGACTCTCGTTTCACTTTTCTCCAAATTAATTCTGATCAAACCTTAAATTACTTTTGGAGTAAAAATTAGATTCATGGGTCTTCTCCGTTTCACCGTCGGCATTTTCGGTAGGTTTGCATCTCTTCTTTTCTTTCCTAATATATTCACTTCTTTTTCCTACTCCGTAGAGATTTGATTTCCGGTGACCGGACCAATTTCGGTCACCGCAAGATGGTTTCTGGTGACCCAATATCTAATTATATCAGGCAGCTAACGAGTTTTAGTCACCAAGAGTATGTACCCTTCGCGCCGGGAAACAAATAATTGTTTTGTCGCGATTTTTGAGTCACCAAGGACCTATTTTATATATGAATCATCATCATCATCATCATGCTATTAGCACCGGTACTAATTCTCCTCTTCCCTTGGTTTTTCTCTTCAGGAAATGTAACTGCGCTTCTCATGTACTTGGCACCAACGTAAGTCGTTCCCCTAATACAGACATTGTCATACGATTTTCTTCAAATAATTTAAGGTTTGATCAGAATTAATTTGGAGAACCTAAGGTTTGATGAAAAATATTTCCTGCGAATCGTGTCCAATGCATTTTGTTTAGGTTTTTTTTTCAGTTTGATTATATGTAGAAAACCTTGTTGGATAATTCCTGTTTATAGACAACCTTGTTAGTCACATTGTTCTTGTTTATATACAAACCTTGTTTTCCTCGTTCACCTCATATGCTGTTGCAGCTCTATCAAGGTGGTTTTAACGTGATAAACGTGTACTTATCATTGGAAAGCTCAATCTAATAAAGAGTATATCCTAATATCACCTCTCACGTGTGAGCCAGACCAAGAACGAACGAGATACGTGTAATTCGACTAACAAGAGCCCCCGCAACAGCGATATAAACCGGGACAAAATTTGGCTTTGATACAACAATAAAATGTCACCCAAAAAGTTTAGTTTATCGATGAAACAGACAATATTTATGTATAAGTGAAATGGGATGCTTTTAACGCATGCGTTCTATGAGCTGATTATAACCTATTTTGGATTTGTGAGATACAATCTTGGAAAATGATCTTGTAGGATTACATTCAGGAGGATCGTACGGAGCCGCTCGACGGAGCAGTTCTCGGGCGTCCCATATGTGATCACCCTGCTTAATTGTCTTCTCTATTGCTGGTACGCTTCTAATGATGTCAGAATCGGGGCATTGTTTCGCGTTCATATCATTGTTGTCGTCTGAATTTGATTATCTTTGGTAAATGACAACGCAACCGCACAAAAAATGTCGACTCATGAACTTTTGTCGCACGTTTGGCTAACGCTCATATGTAAATCTCCTTGACGACAAAACCAATGATCAATTGCATGCTCATGTGTTTTGGCCTTTATGCGATGTCAAGAGTACAGAAAACAGCTTACTAAATTAATTCATAATTTGACATGGCAAACTTTCAAGGAATAAGTAGAGGTAAGACAAGACATTGAAACTTGACAACTATGTTGTCACTCCAAGTTGGTTATAGGTGGAGATTTTAACGATATTTTATTAAAGAAATTCGTGCATATATTCCTCTTTTTGACATATATTCGAGCAATGATTGCAAATATCGAAATTTTGAGCTGGGAAATGGAATCCTCACATGAACTATGGTAAAAAAGTGAATGGAAACTTAGAAAATGTTTACTATACATCAGTTTTTGCCATCATTTTGTTCCGGATAAAGCTTAGGTCTTCACAGGTACGGCTTGCCGTTTGTGTCTCCAAATAACCTTCTGCTATCAACCATCACCGGGATCGGAGCTGTGATTGAGTTCACATATGTGTTGGTTTTCGTCATCTACGCTCCCAAGAAGGAGAGGACCAAGATTCTGGTGCTCGTCGCTCTTGCCGTCGCCATATTCTCTACCGTCGCTCTCATCTCCTTCTTTGTTTTCCATGGAAAAACTAGGAAGCTCTTCGCCGGCGTGTTCGTCGACATTTTTGCTGTCGCCATGTTTGCTTCGCCTCTTTCGGTCATGGTAAAAGGGTTTGCAATAACCTAGTCGTTTGTGTGATTCTGAGTTAAATGCCTAATCGGAACTTTATGTATGATTTTATTACTTTGGTTTTTCTTCGTTTTTGCGCGCAGAGATTGGTGATCAAGACCGAAAGTGTGGAGTTCATGCCCTTTTTCCTATCGCTATTCGGCTTATTGTGTGCGGTTAGCTGGTCCATTTTCGGCTTGATTAATCGGGATCCTTTCGTCATAGTAAGTTAACCATCTTTATTATATAGCAATCAAATTACTTAGCCTTCTACATGCCAAGAGGTTGTAAGAACTTCGACATTACACAATTGATGTGCTAAATATGAGTAATCGTGGTGATGTAGGTGCCCAATGCACTTGGATCGGGATTAGGAGTTGCTCAGATGTCCTTATACGCAATGTACCACAAGCGTAAACATCAGCATGACAACGTCGTGAAAGATGGATCCTTGGAGACGGATTTGCAGATGCCCCACGAGAAGCAACGACCAAAAACTCATCAGCTGGAGCATGGCCGCTCTCAGAACTTATGAGGGCTTCGTGATTGTGTTCGTGCGAGAAGAAAGAGACATAGCTGTGTGCAAAATAGGTCTCGTCAAAGACGGATGTAACTTAATATTTGTGTTTGTTTTAATGTAACTAAAATGGAAAATAATATAAATAGTCTCTGAACTTTGCTCCAATGTGCAACGTGGTCCCTGAACTTTCAATTTATTTAATTTGATCCATGAACTTTAGGCCAATGTGCAATGTGATCCCTGAACTTTAAATTTATTTAATGTGATCCCTAGACTTTCGGTACATATTCAATTTAGTCTCTGGACTGCATGAAAGTGTTCAATGTTGTCCTTGAACTTGAATTAATAAAAGGACGACATTGAAAATTTTCATATAGTCCAAGGACTAAATTAAACATGTGCTAAAATAACAGGGAATATATTGCACATTAGATTAAAGTCCAGGAATCATACTAAACAAATTGAAAATTTAAAGATTATATTATATATTATGGTAAAATTCAGGGATCATTCATGTCATTATTTCTATTGACATGCATTTTTGCTAATCAATGGACAATCATTACACTAGCGGACTGGGTTGTTAAATCCAGCGATGTATAGGCAAGCTGTACCGCAAAAGCTGGATTTCCAATTCTCGTCGGCCCCTTATCGGACATTGCTTGTTCCAAAGCCCCTCTATCGTGCAATTGGGCTAGTTCTTAATTTAAATGGAATGGACTTGGCATGCCATCCAATTTGAATGACTAGTTGATCCGCAGTGTGCTCCAAACTTCCATTTACATGGGGTAAGACAAGGAGATTTTCACCAATATTTCATGCATTGTCGGGTCCATAACGCTCAACGGCACTCCATCAATTTGTCAACCCTAGAAACGTTATCGATCGTGTTGTTTGTAATCAACCTAAACATGTACACGCACAAAAAGAATTGAGATGTTTTTTTATCATTTGCGTGGTAAATCAACATATTCAATTACCCATCCAAATGGTTCTTACATTTTTTTTCTAGAGAAAATTGTATTCATTGCTCAAAAGAATATATAAGAAGTACAAAGATTTTTATAGCAAGAAAATTGAAGCAAAACAAAGCCAAATCCAAAAAACAAAGAGGATCAACTCCAAAAAACAAAAAGGATCAACAGAGTACCGGCAGGGTGAAGCACACACTCATTTCATAAAAACGGATCTGTCAAGCAAAATAATTAGCGACTGATTACTGGATCTTGTATCGTCGTTAGTGATAAGCATACACCAGAAATTCATTCTCTGATAACTATGGGGTTGCTAGTTGGCAGTGTGCGCCTAGATTCAACTTTTTCTACACCATCGTTGTACGGAGACAATCAAAACTTGTTCAATAATTATATCTAACTTTTGGAAGAGCAAATCTGAGTAGTTTAGCAAGATACCAGAAATTCTACGATCGCCATTGAAATTGGAGGTAGAGGATATGTACATAGACAGAGCATGGGATATCGAATCCCCAAAAATATTATTAAACTCTCAAATCTAAATCGGGAGTGAATAGCTCCTAGATCTAAAACTAAATCAAGGGAGTTCAAATGTTGAGATCTAGAACTAGACCGGGAGAAAAGAGTTCTCGGATCTAGATCGGGAGGGAAGAAAAAATAAGAAAAGAACAAGAAAACTTAAACAAAATCAACAAGAAAGAGAGGGGAGGGTGAGACTAACTCAAATCCTCCCCCATGGCTCAAGGTTGAAGAGGCCGATGGAGAAAGAAGAGAGAGGAGTAGAAAAAGACTTGCTGCTTGTCCAACTTTTAGGCTGCTTGTCCAATGAGTGTTACATTTAAATAGTAACATCTCATAACTAAACTTGGGATGCACGACCAAAACTACCGTGACCCTCCGATGATTGTATCCTCTTTCAATACCAACAGCTTAACCCTCCACACGAGACACTCTCACGCCTAATAGCGGAGCACTGTCACACTCCACCGATTAGAGAGTTTGTTGCTGGCGATTAGCCTCGTCGTAGTGAAAACGCTCTATTTGTGCGCGCCCACACATGCATGGACACGCTTTGAAAATACGATTTCAGATGAATACATAATTAGCGAATTTGGATTATGCATTCCTGTTTGCATATAAAAAAATTAAAATTTCAAGCAATTAAAGTTTCTAGGGAAATTTACCCAAAAAGTCATAAACCTATTGTACTTATATCAGTCCTAAACTTTTTTAATTTGGTCAATTTAGTCGCAAAACTTTTGACGATTTGCCAATTCAGTCACAGACATTTCAATTGTACTAATTTGTTCTAATTTTTTTTTTGATGATTTGTCAATTTTGACTGAAAATTGCTGATTAGGTAATTTTTTACTTTTTTCTTTTTTTCTCTATTTTCCCTAACCCTAGGCGGAAGACGGCTGTGACGCCCTCACCTAGGCCAGGCGAGGGTTGGGCAACGACCTCGCCAGCCCAGGGTTAGAAAAGAAAAAAGGAAGAAGTGTATTAGGAGATCATAAAACTTGTCAGGAAAATACAATTGAGTCCTAAAACTTACAAAAAGTTCAATTAAGTCTAAAAACTTGTCAAATTGATACAATCGAGTCATTTCGTTAAATCCGTTCAACTTGGCTAATAAAAATGCCAATGTGGCTTCTTTTCAATATTTTCTCTTCCTTACGTGGTAATGAAGCGGCTAAAAAATGAAACATAAGGTTAAAACAACATTGTGGGCAGCAACGCCATCCCCACTCTCGTCGGCCCTTCACGGCAATGGTGGGGCGGCGGCAGCGAGGGCTGCAAGCCTTAGACACTAGTTCCCCAACTTTTTTTTTTAAATCTTTTTAAAATTTAGCTTATTTTTAAATCTAATTTAAATAAAATTTCTATTACAAATTAGATTTGGACCAAAACGACATCGTTTTAACCTTAGATTTCATATTTTAGCCACGTCAATGTCACGTAGGAGAGAGAAGACATTTAAAAAAAGTCATATCAGCATTTTTTCTTAATTAAGTTAGATGGAGTTAACTGAGGGTGTACAAAAGAATCGGGAACCGAACCAAACCGGCCCGGAACTAGCGGTTTCCATGGGGATCGGTCCAATTCTCGATTCCAATTTACTGGAACCAGTGAGCACTGGTTCGTTCTCAATTCCAAGCGTAGAATCGTCTACCTATCCACCTGAACCAGACCAGTATATATATATTTTTTAAAAATTTCATGCTGTAGTCATATTGTGATATCTGCTTATTTCGCATGAAGTAATATGCTTGCACAGAGTCCGATGATTCCGAAAGCTGACAAGGAAAACACTTATTAGATGAAGTGATGAAATATTTCTTCGAAGAATGGCTTCTAGTTTGCTTCCCTATGTGTTCGCGTAGAATTAGTATTTTTTTTTATTAATTGTGTGATGAAACCAAAGATGTACCCACATATAAACTAGGTTCACCGTGATATTGATTGGCGAATGCAATTTTGTAGAAATTGGAGACCGGGCGCGTCCGATTCCCGGGTTGGTCAATGGAACCAACAGGTGATTCTAGGTTCTAATTTTTCGAAACCAGTCCTCAGTGGGTGGTTCCCGGTTCTAGGGTGGGAACCGCCCACCTGGACCATACTCATCTCTAGAGTTAACGAAAGAACTCGATTGCACAAATTTAATAAGTTTTAGGACATGATTGCAGTTCTTGTAATTTTTAGGGCTTTATTGCACATTTGTGACAAGTTTTAGGACTGCCAATGCACTTATCCAAAAAAAAAAGATGAAAAAAAAAGAAAAGAAAAATTGAAACGAAAAGAATAAAAAAATTAGAAAAGTTTAAAAAATTATCTACGTCAATGTCGGCCGTGACACCCGGCATTGATTAGATTGCCACGTTAGTGATTTCCAACCAAAATTAATCAGAAGGACTAAATTAGTAAATCGTCAAAAAGTTTAGGACTAAATTGGCTAAATTAAAAGGTTTATGATCGAATTGACACAATACAATAGGTTCATGACTTTTTCGATAATTTTTCCAAAATTTATATATATAGATTATGATTTCTGACTCAATATGAGAACAGGACTAGACAAAACTTGAATGTAGGTGATCCTAGGAAGCTCCTTTCCAAGATGATGAATTTGAACGGACGCATCTATTATGTTTAGGGATCTAGAAATAATGTCTTGTTGGAGGGTGTTCCTTCTTTTGTCAATAATGGAGTCAATTTGGTAAAGTGTTCTGTTTAGTCCAAGATTAAGTATTTTGGAGGTATCCGAATTTCATCAAAGTTTTGACAAATCTTTCTTATTCTTGTCGGTCTATATGCATGTGTAAGATCATCTTCGATGAGCTTGCAATGACAATTACCTCTGCCCACGTTTGAGTTTGAACTGAAATGGAAATAGGCCATTTAATAAAACAAAGATTATTTGAGAATTAATCATGTTGTGCGCCCTCACTATGCCGAAAGGTGATTTTATTAATAAAATACAAATAACAATAAGGGATATTTTACACATGCAGCCTTTACCAAAAGATGCATTTTCGTAATCACCAATCTCTCGTTAATCCCTACGTGGCACAATTAGAGCCGATTGTGTCCATTGCCGATATAGACGGAAAAAATCTAGAAAAAGGTCATTCTTTCTCAATGCGTCGGGATGTTACCTTTTCCTAACAAATTGCATGGGCAAATTTGCCGGTTCGACTCGATGTGCGATGTCGGATCATCGGCAATCCGACGGCTCAGAAAATCCTTTGCACACACAAAAAAGAAGATCCTACGTGGCCTGGTCCACTTGTGTTCCGTTGCCGATATAGATAGAACGGTTCAGAAAGGATCACCCTTTCAAAATGTGATCCGACTTGGCACGATTAAGGTAGCTCGTGTTCAATTGTCGATATAGAGAGAACCGCCCAAGAAGAATCACCCTTTCTAAATGCGTTGAGATATTACCTTTTTTGGACAAATTGCATGGGCAGAGTCGCCAGTTCGACTCGATACGCATTGTCGGATTATTGTTGATCCAATGGCTCACAAAATCCTTTCAAC